CTTAAAGATCCGCCTCGAAATTGCGTCGCATATTGATATCAAAAAAAAATTATATTTCTGAATAATTGAAATACTATTTCATCAGAAAAAAAAATCTTTTTCCAATTATGATTAAGATATTTCTTTGTTCGAATAATACAAGCTTCTTTATAAATAGTAATAAGTATAAGAATTTCCAAAGATAGATTATTTTTATAATCCAATTTTGCTAGATGTTTTGAAATTGTTATATAAGATACTTTAGTATCTATATTTAACAATTTAATTGCCAAAGTTCTTGTAGAAAATCTTGGATTATGATATAAGTATAACCAATTGCTTTTGATTCATGTGTAGTAATTTTTTTAAGTTAATCTCCATTATATTTCTTGAATTATTTTTTTTAAAATTTAATTTTTTAAGGTTATAATAAATAGTTGACATAGTTATGCCAATTCTAAAATATATTTTATTTGCAAAAGTAATTCTATTCTTTCACAAATATAATATAGTTTAATATTATAAATGTTTTTCAGAAAATGATATTGTAAGAATAAGTTTATAAAAAATAAAATAAGTTGGAAAATTTAATGATATACTGTATATATACTGTATTTGTTAAAATATGTTATTTACCTGTTTAAAATTTCATGTGAATTATTTTTGTTTTGAAAAAGTTATTTACATTTATATTATATAAATAAAATTTTAAAAAGTTTTGTTATATATTGTATAATTTTTAAAACTAAAGAAAGTAAAACATTAAATAATTAAAAGAAGTTAATCATCTAATCATAATTATAAAAAAATTATTTCAAAAATCAAGCAATATCTAGAAAAAAAATTTTTTTATATCTTTAAGAAATTTAATAATAAAGTTAAATAAAACAATTATTATAATAATTTTATCATGATATTTGAAATCTCTTGATTATAAAAATATATTTTTCAAAATATTGTTAATATTTATCAGAATATAAAGAGAAAATCAATTGGAATGAATCAAAAAACAACCAATATAATTTTTTTTCATAAATAAAACTATATTTTAGCTTTTTTACAATATTATAGAGTAGTTTAAAAGATTGATTTTTCAGATTTTCAAAAATAAAAAAAAAATTTTATGTGAAGAAAGTTTAGTAAAACAAATAAGATTAGTTTATTCTGTTTTTAAAAAATAATAATAGTAGAATTTATATTAACATATTAAAAGAAAATATAAGAAAAATTAAAAAATTAATGGAAAAAAAATAATAGTACTAACAAAATAATAACTTGAAATATATGTGCCATTTTGCAAAGTTCTATTTTGAATTATATGTTTTCAAAATTATTGAATAGTTAATTAATAGTTCAGACTAAATCATATTGAGAATTTGTGAAGTATTATGAAAAAAATATAAAAAATAAAATGTCACAGAATTTGAAAAAATTAAAATTGTTTTTGATAAAAGATTGAAATATAATTTTAAAAAATTCTGTAAAAATCTATGAAAAAAAAATATAAATTAGTAATTAGATGTAACAGTGATCACATTGACTATTGAATTTTTAAATAAAAAATGTTTTTTAAATAAAATATTAACTATTATGATTGAATTGATGGTTATTAAATAATGACAAAATATATTTTCCAAATAATTTTGAAACACTCTGTAAGTAATTCTTTTTTATCACATTTTCTATCAAATTGAAAAAAATATATTTAAAATCTATAAGTAAACAAAAAAACAATTTTAACTTTAAAATTTATATTAAATTACAATTTTTTATTATAACTTAAAAATTTCATGTGAAAAATTGTCTGACTAATATATTGTATATTTTTATTAATAAATTCAAGTATATTTGATTACAATTTGATAATTAAAATAACATGATTTGAAATAATTATAAAAATTATTATAATTCAAAAAAAACTAAAGATACTTATATACTTATAATTTAAATGATTATATAGGATTCAATCAATAATAAATAATTAAATACTGTATAAGTGTGATTAATCTAATTTCATTTGATTCCAGGTCCTAAAAATCATTATATGGTTATGATCTATATACCGTCAACATTTACTATTACTGACTTTCAAGATTCAACTGTGTTTCTTTTAAGCCCTGATCATTTAAATTAATATTTGAGCTAACAAATTTAAACTTTTGTTATCCGGATGTTTACATGGAGCTGATGCAGTAATGATAATTGACGGAATTTTACTGTAAGAAATAAGGCAATGTTTTGACAAGGATCTAATGATGTAAATTATTCGAATTCTGTGTAATCAAAATCTTATAAGGTTGCTAACGCTAAGTAAAAATTTTTTTGACGGAATCACGATATTAAATTATGATATAATGGTCAAAAATTAGCATCAGAAATTAAAGAAAATAGTTTAGAATGAGATTTTTGATTTTATATAATAGAATTTCGCGAATAATATATGAACTAAGTAAAATTTTCTCTAGAAAATAAATGATTAATATTTCATACGAGATTTTGCCGTTTCTTTCCTAAAACAATGTCCAACACAGACATAAAAGCTTCAACTTTACATCAAACATTTTCTACAACCATCATAAATTCTGTTGATAATGAACCACCTCTAAATGAAAATTCAACAAATTCAAATTCAACGTGTCAATCTCTTGACTCTAAATTGGCCACTTTTCCATCATATTGCTTATTCGTCGCGTTTGTCACTGTTGCAGCATCATTCGAGAATGGTTGGAATATTGGAGTTACGAATATCCCTGGTGTGTATTTTGCAATGATATAATGATCAAAATGATCTCTTTCCTCCTGAAAAAATTTTGGAGAATAATTTTGTCTTTAAGAGCAAATTATTAGAAATTGTTCATCTGGCCATCACGGAACACTTCAGGATTGTCTTCCTATGAATAATCTTCTATGGTACGTTGTTAAAATAAGGCTATCATAATTCATTCTTCTACACACATAAGAAACTTGAAATGCACGTTTTTACGATTTACGAACCGTATTCTACATCTGTTACATTAACTAAATATTGTGTTAAACCTTGAACCAAAGGGGATTTGCTGTGGGAAGTTATGCACTTGGTGGTCTTATCGGCAGTCTCTTGGCAGGCCATTTTCAAGCTCATTACGGCAGGCGTAACACTTTAATATTTAACACGTTAAATTGGATATTTGGAGGGTTATTGTTAGGAATTGCCGTGCATCCTATGATGTTCGTGGTGGGACGTGTTCTCACGGGTGTCGGAAGCGGTACTGGATCAGTGGTTGTTTCGGTATAATTATTTTTCGTTTTATTAAACCAAAATAATACCTTGTATAATGTTATTACCCTTTTTTTTTCAAAATGATAGACATACTTGGGTGAAATAGCGACTGTAAAATCACGTGGTGCATTGGGCACAACGAATCAACTGTTCATTGTTATTGGAATCCTGGCTTCCCAGCTCTTCGGTCTTGTGCTATCTTTCGTCCCAGGGTGGCG